AAAACAGTCCAACCTATCAAAAAAAAGCACCACAAAAAACAGATTAGGAACACAAGTTAAAATAGGGAAGAAAATGGGAAGTGAACATCTGTCTACCCTAGATGAGTTCAAGTCACAAGGAAAGGATAGATTATACCCCAAGGTTCTGAAGGAACTGGCAGAGGAGATCTCAGAACCACTGAACTATATCTTTCAAAGATCCTGGAGCACCAGGGAACTGCCAGAGGACTGGAAAAGAACTGATGTGGCTTCCATTTCCACAAAAGGAAAAAAATAGAACCATGAAAATATAGATCTATCAGCCTGACCTCAATACAAGGGAAGATTCTGGAAAAGATAATCAAACAATGAACCAGCAAACACCTAGAAGCAAATACTGTAATAACCAAAAGCCAACATGGGTTTGTCAAAAACAGATCATGCCAGACTAATCTTATTGCATTATTTGACAAACTAACAAAATTAGTGTACCAGAGGAATACTGATGATATAATTTACTTGGACTTCAGTAAGGCATTTGATGAAGTAGACCATAACCTACTATTAGATAAAGCAGAAAAATGTGGGTTAGACAGCATCACCACCAGATGGATTTATAACTTGCTGACCACATTCAATATGTAGTTCTCAATGAAACCACAACTATATGGAGGGAAGTATGCAGTGTAGTTCCCCAAAGCTCTGTTTTAGGCCCAGTACTCTTCAATATCTTCATCAATGACTTGAATGAGGGGATTGTGCTGCCTCAGCAGTATATAGCTAGTGTAGGAATTCAGAACTGTCTCCTTTAAGAAACTACCTCATGGGAAATGTAAACAGAGATTGCTTTATGGGAAATGTAGTTCCATGACATGTGATCACATCTCTGTTTCTGATTGGCGACTGGGCATTCTGCCCACGTGCAAAGTTTATAGCCAGTCAGTTTAAATGCTTTTGTGAACCGGAATAGTAGTGTTTGTATCTCTGTTCAGCATGGGAGTGAAATCATCATCTTTTTACACCACATGATGGGACAGATTATGGAGAGTCAGAAGTATTTTAACACTGAACTGTAATTTTTGCTGTTAAGAGTGCCTGATAATAAACTTGATCTGAATGAGATTTCTAAACTTGGAGTTAACTGCATGCCCAGGGCAAGCCTACAACACCCGAGGTAGAACAGTAAAAAGATGGTGATGTTTTTGCTCCCCTCAAGTAAAAAGATGATGAGCACCCCTCGAGTAAAAAGGGATGTTGAAGCTGAATCCCAAACTCTGTTTGCATTTTAACTGAGAACAGCTGCTGGGATTTCTCCCACCCCCTCTTGGAGCACAGAGAAACATCCCGTTTCAGTGAGAAAGGCTGATTAACTCTCCTGAGATGAAGGACTTTGTTGTGATTAAGAGAATGTGCTAAAAGGAGGGGGAAGAGTTGCATGAAAAAAACAGCCTCCACAACCTGGCCAGCTCAATCTACTTTGAAAAGCCTTTTTTTGTTTATGGAAGAATGCTCACAGGCTGTTACTATTTTCTATGAATTATTGGGAAAAGGCACAACCCCTTCAGGAGGTACCAAGCTAGCAAGGTCCAAGACGGGTTCCGAGTCTGGGTAAAGACCCTTAGTCTCAGTTATAGTCTCTATCAGCCTCTGTTTTGCTGCTTGCTTTTCAGCTGCCATTGAAACGGGGAGGGAGGGCATGGTATTTGGGAGTGGGAAATATACTGTACAGGAGGACTGTTAATTGGGAGTTGTTCTCACCATCTATTGCGCATGTGGCAAGGAGGGGAGTTTCCCACCAAGGCCAACTTTCTGGCATACCAACCTGATGATGATTTTTGAAGATGTCTCCCACCTGACAGCTGTGGAGATATGGGATTGAACTATGGACTGGGGTTACCAAGGGGAGGGGAATGGGTGATGTATTGATATCAAAAGCTTCACTCTCTTTTGCTCAGATCCAGCTTTGCTTAGCTTCTATTTACTTATAATCAGAAAAAGTACTCTTAATTCTGCAAAATGGAGTTGAGTGGTTTCTTTCTTGGTTATTAAGTGAAGCAGCCTTGACAGTATCTTCTCTAGCCATGGCAGAAGGGTCAGACACACCGAACCCCATGCCTGAATCCAACACAGACTCAGTATTGGTCGTCCAAAGCTCAGTATTGGTTGTCCAAACCTCAGAATTGGATGTCCAACTCTCAGAAAAGGCAGGGGCACCTCAGATGGCCCAGGACCTAAGGCAGCATAGGAAGCCTATGCAGATTAAGCGGTCAAACCTCTTGGAGGAATGGGACAAGCTTTATCAAAAACATGATGGTTGCTGGAAGAAGTTGCAGCATCTCTGCAACAAACTCAAAGATGATCTACCCCCAAACACCTCCACTCATTGGACGAGGACATGGATGAAATCTTTGCGCAATGGATATTTTATGGAAGCTGCCTCAACTACATCCAGTCACAACTAAATGACGATGAAGAACTCAAGAAGGAGATGCTGTGCCTTCAGACATTAAACAAAGAATGTAAAAAGCAGTTTCAATGTAGCAAAGATTTTATCCAAACCAGTCTGAAGAGGGAGACTGCCCCGGAAAAGAAGGCCGAATCCAAAGTGTCTCATTGTTCGTATGCAACATCTCAGCTGTCACATGCAATGTTCTCCCACATCTCCAAAACAGCTTCATCCCTTTACTTTACTCCAAGCCAAGCCAATCTCGAGCAGGCACCAGCGTCTCACAGCAATCTTCCCATCCTAGCCAAATGTCATGGGCATCTAGAGCTGAGGGTCTAGCTGCCCAAGCTGCAGAAAAACGAGTCAAAGCTGTGGCAATCATGGCAACTCTTGATGTGGCAAAAAGGGTGCAATTGCAAAAGGAAGAGATGGCAAAAGCTCAGGCCAGCCTTGAGTTTCTTCAGCTCAAACAGGAGGGTGTAGAAAGGACAGCATGGGCCAAAGCTGTACAGCCAGAGGCTGACCGAGCCTCCCTCAACTTCAGTCCTAGGAAGCTGGAAAAGGATAACCCATACAAGCATGTTAAGGCCTATGTGGATGACCTGAACTCACCATAACAGGAACAAGGAGGAGAATCTCAACCACCAGAATGACAAGCTAGTCAGATGGCTGACATTGTACAATCAGGATCACAAGATTCCTTCCTTGGAATTAGAAAACTTACTCTGACAAACCAAGAAACATGGGGTGATTAGGATAGTCCATCAGCAAGAGAGAAGGATCTTCAGCAGGCAGTAGCCATGATTCATAGCCTCAATGTGGAGGTGAAGGAATCCTTGCTGGACCTAGTGATTTGAGCATGGACGTACAGCCCAAAGAATGGAGTCTACACCCAGACTCTGAGTAACCACAAAGGACAACTCCTAACCCTCATCTGGCCAAGGATCCTCAGTATGATACCAAAGTCCACCCAGAAGTGGCTGCAAGTATCAATTGCCCATCAGTATGTGGTGACTCACCATCCCCTTGCTCATACCAATCTGCTCAGTGAAAGTCTACCTCGATGGGTGCCTAGAAAAAGCCGGGAAGATGCCTGAAATAGCAGATGTGCAAAGCTATAGCATATCAGTCAGTTCAGCACTCGACAGCCTCATCAATGTCCGAAGTGAAGAAACACACTTCAGGATATCAATGCACACTGGGTCCCAGTGCACGGCATGGAGGAAAGTTGATAGACTGCATAAAATTTTTAGATGGGAATATGCAGTTCTCATTGCCACCATTGCTAGAATGGGATGACCCACCAGATGATCATAGTCAGATTGTGACACCAGAGTCAGAAAGCACCTCACCTCACCTGAAGCACATGGCTAATCACTTTCCTGCTCTAGATCCCAAAGACAAAATCCTTCTTTTGCCAAGAGCAGACACCTCTGATTCTTTCAACCCTCAAGAAGTGGTCAAGGACCCAAGGGGCTTGCCATTCACCATCAAAACAGAACTTGGAAGGGCCATCTTTGGAATGGTTTGNGCTGCAGGCCTGACATCAAAGCTATTGCCACTTGATAGAATGTTGTAGGCTTTTTGATGATGGTGGTGAAGCTATGTTCAGACTAATGTACTGATTCCAGATTCTAGAAACTCCAGCATCTAATGTACTCTGAGTTTTGTGTTGGAATAAGGGGAAGGTTGCACTGAATCAATAAGGAAGCAAATTAAATAATCACAATTTTTGTTATAGATTTTTCCTAATTATGAAACTCTGTATATGATTTTTCCTCTTGAACATTTTCAGGGATATTTGACAGAGGATTGGGTTGAGATGATGATAACATGAAGCTATGTTGAGATTTATAGTACTGATTCCAGGTTCAACAAACTCCAGCATGCAATGAACCCTGCATTTTTTGTTGGAGTGTGTGTGTGGGGGGGAATAGCACTGAATGGGTGAGAAAATTGAATGTTCTTTGCAGAGTTATTTCTTTATTAATTGCCCCTTTATATTCAAATCAGGTCTCAAAATAATGATGTAGCATTTGGGGGAAAATATGCAACCTACTAATCCAGCTGCAGAAGCCAAAATGGAGAAAATCTCCACAGCCACCATATATCTGCCCTTCGTACTCAGGTAGGTAGGAATGAAAGACAACCAAACACTGCAAAAGACCAACATGCTAAAGGTAATAAATTTGGCTTCATTAAAGCTGTCAGGTAACTTCCTTGCTAGGAAGGCTACTGAGAAGCTGACAACAGTCAAGAATCCCAGAAAACTAAGGACAATATAAAACATAGTGGTTGAACCTTCATTACATTCTAGGACAATTTCTCCAGCGATGGAGTGCATGTCAGATTCTGGAAAAGGGGGAGAAATTGCCAACCACACTACACAGATCATGAGTTGAGTCAAAGAACAAGAAAGGACAATAGGGATAGCCATCCTTTTCCCCACCCATTTCCGCATTTTGGAGCCTGGCTTTGTGGCCATGAAAGCAAGGACAACTATGGTTGTTTTACCCAAAATGCAAGAAAGGGCTATGCAGAAAATGATACCAAAAGCAGTTTGTCGCATGAGACATTTAGTGTGATCCGGTTGTCCAATGAAAAGGAAAGTGCAAAGGAAGGAGAGCAGAAGAGCAATGAGAAGGGTGTAAGTGAGGTTCCTGTTGTTGGCTTTGACAATGGGGGTGTCCTGCTTTTTAATGAAGATTCCCAGCACCAAAATGGTGATGACAGAAAAGAAAATACTAACAGTGGTCAAGATGACTCCCAGTGGTTCATTGTAAGACAAGAAGGTTCTTTTTTTTAGAATGCAAAGAGTTTGAATCTTATTTGCATATTGATCGTCTGGACATCGGAAGCAATCAACTGCATCTGGAAAAGAAAAATTGATGGCCAATTCCAAGAAATAGTCATGAAGCATAAATGAATGTTAATTAAGGGGGTTTATCTATTCCTAATTGAGCAATGCCTGTTTGCATTTAGTTCCTGACTATAAATGTGCCAGATGTTAAGAAATTTACATATTACTTGGCAGTAATTCTGCTATTATAAAATCATTGAATGGAAGCTATTTGAAGTTTAAATATTAGCATTTTGAACCATGCATAAGAAGACTGAATAGTCTTACACAGGACCACTCTTACCCATCTGGTTTGAAATTTTCCCTTTTGCACATGGAAGGCAATCATAACAGCAAAATGGCTTCCCTTCGATTTTCATCTTCCTGTATCCTGGATAGCAATTGTCACTGCATACAGAAAGAGGCTGAACCTATCAAGAAGTGAAAGCAGGATTTATTACAAGGCATGCATTTTATTTCATAAAATTCTACATCAGTATGGATTTTACTTGTAAATAATAAGTGTTGGATGTTCCAAAATCTCCTGCATTTAGATAAATTATAGTAAATTATAGGTAATGAGAGCTAGAATCAAAAGTGAAGGCGGGTACCCTAATAATTGGAGAGGTGAAGATAGCATCATTTGGCTAGGCAAAAATCAAGATCCAGAAGAGGCAAAATATAATCAAATAGCCCAAGCTTGTAAAGGTGAAGTGAGGAAAGCTAAGGCTTACTACGAAGAAAGGCTTGTGACAAAAGTAAAAAATAAAAAAAAATAAAGCTTCGACATGTTAAAAACAAGAAAAAAGTCAAGGAAACAATTGATCCATTGCTTTGAGAAAATGGCAAGAATGTGACAAGTAACAGGGAGAAAGCATAATTACTTAACTCATTTTTTGCACCTGTCTTTACACAAAGGGGGGGAAAAACAGTCCAACCTATCAAAAAAAAGCACCACAAAAAACAGATTAGGAACACAAGTTAAAATAGGGAAGAAAATGGGANTGACAATGCCTACTTAGAAATTATTAATCCATTGAATATTCTGATTTTAGGAGAAGGAGGAGAAATTCTTATAATATCATAGTATTCTGTGTTTACCAAACGTTAGTATATATCAGCAAAAATGTGTAATAAGCATTGTAGTAGGTCATCTATTTCTCTTTTAGTTCTGGTCTTTTTCTTAAATCCCCTTTGACAGTCCATTAAACAGGATGATTTTAACTCATGCATAGAGCATTTTAATTCATTTTATGTGCAGTTTTCATTCATTTGCACTATATCATGAGAAAGTAGAATAATGATATTTTCTTCCCATGTACCTAATATGGCATCTCTTAATATGTGCTTCTGAAAATATGAGTGGGATTTACTTTCCCCTCCCAGAGGAAGGAATGTCAGCCAAGTTGGAGGTCATGGCCTTCTATCATTAGTATCCTTTTATTTTTCAACTGAATCCAGTCCTTAAGTCACATCATGGCTGCAGCTTGATAATAGAGTCCCCAGTCCCCAGGAGGGCAATCCTCCTTTACTTCTGCTGTCCTTGTAAGAGTTTGAGTTTTATACGTAGTTTTTTTTCCCTACCCAAATAAATTTAAATACTATTTTATTTAATTGTTCAAAAAATGCCTAATTTTATTGGTATTGTTTGAAAAATATATAGCAATTCAAATAATATATTTATTTTAATTGTTGAAATTCTGCCAATTAATGTTATCTATAGTTTGGCCCAATTATCCAAATCCTTTTGTATTTGTTTTAGCAGTCTCTTGTAATTGTCTTCTTTTATTGTTGTACATTTTGCCGTTAGCCATATTCCCAAATATCTAAATTTTTTTGACCTTGAAATCCCCAATTTCTCCTCCAGTTCTTCAATTTGTCTATCAGTAAGATTCTTGGTTAACATTATGGTTTTCTCTTTATTTATTTGAAGCCCTGCTACTTTGCTGAATTGTTTTATTTCTTGTAATAATATTTGTCCACTTTCTAATGGGTGTTCTATAGTAAATGCCATATTGTCTGCAAAGGCTGGGGGTTTATATTCCTCCTTTTTAATTTTTAATCCCTTTATTTCCTAGTTTTGCCTGATTTGTATCATTAATTACTCTATTGAGAGAATGAACAACAGGGGGAATTGGGGGACATCTCTGTCTCACCCCTTTAGCTTAATTAAATCCTTCTGTTAATTCTCCATTTAATATTATTTTTGCCACCTGGTTTGAGTAGATTGCTCTAATCATGCCAATAAATTTCTCTCCAAAGTTCATTTCTACTAATTTATTTATAAGAAAATCCCAATTCAGTTTATCAAATGCTTTTTGTGTATCAAAAAATATCAATGCCGATCATTTTCCTGGGTGAACCTTCATTATGGTTCATATAACCATGTGCTTGGTTAGTTCTTTTTCTTCTTCAAGTTTCTGATTTTGGGGTTCTTTTTGCATTTTTAGTTCCAATTTCTTCAGTTTCCCCTGGAGCTCTACATATTGGTTTTTTATCTTTGTTCCTTCTTGCCATATATGCAATTGTTATGCCCCGCATATAGGCCTTAGTTGTGTCCCATAAATTTTGTATATAAGTATGTTTGTTCCAATTTTCTGTTTTAAAAACTTCAGCTCTTTTTCTATATANAGCCATAGCCATCATGGCCAACATCCAGCAGATGTTCTACTCATTCCTTGTCAGAGAAGCCCATCAAAACTACCTATGTTTCATGTTTTCCAGTGTCAAACAGCACAGCCAACAGAAGCAAGAATTGGAGATGTGGCGTGCCTCCCTGAGTTGCAGCGCACATATATTCCCATCTCGCCTGTCGCCACAACAAAGGAAATAGCAGCCGTAGGATACATCAGGGTCTACAGTGGGGAGAACAACATTCACTTCAGTTTCATCATGGAAAAGGCGAAACTAGCACCACAACTAGCCCTCAACCATTCCCGAGAACAAGCTCGCTTCAAATGCTTCTCCAGACGGAGACCTCTCGTGTTGGGCTTAGCAGTGATTGTCCTCACCACACTCATGGCAGATGATACAGCTATCATCAATGCTCGATCTTTGGTTCCAGAGTCTTCAAAACCCAACTGTCTTCACCCTAGACACCTTTCTGACCCAGAAGACAGGTGACTGGCCAACACCAGCAGGGAACTTTGTTCCCAAAGACATGAATTGGAACTCATGGCCTAAGGGATTTGTGTATCAAGTCCTACCCAGTAATGATGGACTAGTGTGTCAGGTGGAAGTTCAAATTGCGAAGCCGCTGAAGTCAGGCCGCGACCAGTAGACTTTCACCAAGAAGCTCTACACCAGAACAATCACCGACCTAGTACTGCTGCTATGGAAGACTGAACTAGAAGATTGAACCTCAAGCCTTGCATGCTTTGTGTTTACATCATTGTTTGCATTGTTTGATGCTATGCCTTTATGTAACTTAGTCAATTAGTTAGTTAAGTTTGGACGTTTGATGGTATGCCTCTGTTTATCTTAGTTAATTAGATAGTCAAATTTGCATTGTTTTATGCCATGCCTTTATTTGCCTGCAGTTAAAAGTTAGTTGATAATGGAATTTATAATTCCAGGCACAGAGTGTGCTGCCCCAGAAGTATATAGTCCAACAAGTAGGTCTTGTATAGATTAAATTGAATATCAGTACAGATATAGTGTGCATTGTTTTATCATCGCTCAAACTATTTCAGGACCAAGGAAGTGAAGCAGTAGCAATATATAATATTGATCAGGTAACAATATATAATCTTGGGTATAATCACTGGGACCACTTATTTAGTCTTCCACGGTTTCATCTCGTGCCAGGGCCTCAGGGAACTTGTATCTGCTGTAATGTGTATTGATCAAGTTTCAGATTTATGCATATAAAGTTAAAGGTAAAGGTTCACCTCGAACATATGTTCTAGACGTTCCTGATTCTAGGGGACTGTGCTCATCTCCGTTTCAAAGCTGAAGAGCCAGCACTGTCTGAAGACATCTCCGGGTCATGTGGCTAGCATGACTAAACAGTGAAGGGGCACAGAACCCTGTTACCTTCCAACTAAAGATGGTTCCCATTTTTCTATTTGCATTTTTACATGCTTTCGAACTGCTAGGTTGGCAGAAGCTGGGGCAAATACCATGTTCCCTGAAAATAAGAAGGGTCTTATATTCTTTTGACCCCCAAAATATTGATTGGGTCTTATTATCGGGGGGCTTATTGTTTTGGGGTTGCCAGGTGACTGTTCTCTTGCGAGCGGGTGCCTGAAGAGCCAGGTACAGCCTCAGGGGCAAAAGGCTGTGCTGTGTTGTGCTGTTGCAGCAGTGCAACATACCAGCCATGAGATGATCATGCTCATGAGCAGCCACCCAGCAACCCTACTTACCAGCCGGGCAAAGTGTCACTCACAGACCCAGTGATATCTCAAAGACACTAAGCCATGTGTGCTCTGCCCTCTCCCCCCAGCTCCCATGGCTTGATGCATTTGGGATACCCTTAGGTCAGTACATGGCGCTCTGCCCGCTCCGAGCATAACCTATTCTCCGGCTTCCAAACTCCAGAAATCCACAGCTGAGTCTTTCGTCAGCAGCTGCTCTGCGAGTACATTCTATGGTTGTGGCCTGGCTGAGGCAGAGCGTACTCCCAGAACGTACAACCATAGAGTGTATTCCCAGAGTGGCAACTTCCGGAAGACTCGGCATCCTACCTCCGTGCTTTGGAAGCCACAGAAAAAGCCATGTGGCGGCAGTGCCAGCAGCGGAGATGCCCTGGCTCTGCAGGGAGAGTTAGGCAAGGGCATTGTGAGGCTGGGAGGTACGCGAGCGGGGAGCGGAAAAGTCGCTCGTGCAACCCCCCCCCCTCTCCAGCCATGCAGAGCCCCATTCACTGACCAAGGGGCATTCCAAAGGCACCAATCCATGGGAGCTGGATGGTGGCGAACAGACACTCACACAGCTTGGCTAGGTCAGTGAATGGTAGTGTGCCTGGCTGGAAAGGGGGGTTGCCGGGCGACTGCTCGTGAGCATGGTCACCTCATGGCTGCTGTGTAGTGCTGCTGCAATAGCTCAACACAGCTGTTCGACCCTGAGGCTCTGCCTGGCTCTTCGGGAGCCCGCTTGCAAGAGAACAATCACCCAGCAACCCCCCTCTCCAGTTGGGCACAGCACCGCTCACCGATTTAATGGTATCCCAAAAGTGCCAAGCAACATTAGCCTTTGCCCCCCACCCCATTTCTATGGCTTGGTGCCTTCAGGATATCACTAGGTCAGTGAGTTGCACTCTGCCTGGCTGGAGAGGGAGTTGTCCAGGGGGCTTATTTTCAGGGGAAGGCTTACATTTTGCCCACCTGAAAAAATGTGGCATGGTCTTATTATCAGGACATGTATTTTCGGGGAAACACGGTAATGGGAGCTCATTCCATTATGCAGCGCTAGGGATTCAACCGCCGAACTGCTGACCTTTCTGATCGACAAGCTCAGCGTCTTAGCCACTGAGCCACCATGTTCCCTGTAGAAGACATTAACATTAGAAAAAAAAATCAACAGCAACTTTATAAAGAAGATGAAGGATTGGGGGATATTTCAGTTGCTATTGTGATATGTCAATCAGTTCAAATGACTGAATTATTTCCAATAGTTTGGAAATAACGACTCTGAGGATGAGCAAGAAAGAAAAAATTACAGTCAGTAGTTGTAAATGATTTTCAGAGAACTAAAAAAAAGCTCAATAGGTTAAAAGAAGAACAAGTCAATCTCCTAGATCTGATAGAGGTGGTTTCCCAGATACAATAATTAGCAAAATCAGGATAAGACTATTCAAGGATGGGAAGACTAGAGAAGAAATACTATGTTTGGCAAGGCTGAAGAAAAATGGGAAGACAACGGATTAGCTGAAAGGAAGAGATCAAAGCAATTTGATGAGCTATTATATCAGAATGAGCATATATCCATATAGTGATTGTTGTTTCAACAATAATAACATTCAATAAACATGACTCCTCCTTTAAAATTAAAATAACTAAAAATAGCATGGAATCTGTAAATATTTGAATCAAATTAGTGCCATTGGTTGTTAATTAGTTATGGATTTTCCAAAAATACCCTGTTGCAGCATGTGCAATAGTCATTAAACTCATCTAACCTTCAAATCCTAGCAAGAATAGACAGCAAAAATATTGAATTAAGTTATTTTTAAAATTGAAACCTTATTGCTGAAGGGAGAGAATATGCACAGATTGAAATCTGAGCAGGAAATACCTGGTTAAACAATGCAGGCCAGATGATGTCCTGGGTAGAAATGATAACTAGTTTATCCAGAGAATTTGTTGGGTTGATCTTTCCAACTTTGACTTTAACAAAGCTCTTGTTTGGGAAGGTGACCCAGTTGATAATGTCAAATCCAGTGTTCAAGTCTCCATTTTCATTAAAGGAGATTTCCTGTCCTGCAGTGTTATTAAAAGAGATGGTTCTCAAATAATGATGGAGCTAAACAGAAGCAATGGCAGAAAAGCATTGGGAAGGAAGGAAGGAAGGAAGGAAGGAAGGAAGGAAGGAAGGAAGGAAGGAAGGAAGGAAGGAAGGATAGCAGTGTAATTAAGTTGTAGATCATCCATTTAATATAACTGGACACATCAATATAATTTTATTCCTCCAATCCTCATCCTGGTTTATTCTCTGCCAGAGATGTTTGAAGGTCTGACAACCACATAGATTCTACAGCATCTAAACCATTTCCTCCACATTGTTATAGGTTTGTTATCTATCCACAATTGCAAAAGTTTTTAAATATTGGAAAGATGAGGAAAATGGAGTGAAAGGAGACTTAAAATCATTACTCCAGTGTTCTCATTGGCCATACCCTTTGTTCTGCAGCTCATTGAATTACAGAGAGAACTGCAATGGGAAATGTTCACTCACCTTGACTATATGTCAGAATGGTCAAACAATTAGCAACTTCAAATCTCAACCCAAAAATGCTTACACATTGGCAAAAAATAAATAAATCAGAACACAAAATACAAGCTGGGTGGACACAACCTTGTGGACAACCCTTACTCTGTCAAGGACCTTGGAGTTCTCATATCTAATGATCTAAGTGCCAGAGCCCACTGTAATAATGTTGCCAAAAAGGCATTAAGAATTGTTAACCTAATCTTGCATAGCTTCTTCTCTGGTAACACTGTCCTGCTAACCAGAGCATACAAAACATTTGCTACACCAATTCTCAAATACAGCTCATCTGTCTGGAACACACACTGCATATCGGTCATTAATACAATTGAGTAAGTCCAGAGATATTTCACAAGAAGAGTCCTCCACTCCACTGCTCGCAACACAATACCTTATGCCACCAGACTTGAAATTTTGGGCTAAGACAACTTAGAACCATGTCACCTTTGGTCTGACCTAAGCCTAGTACATAAAAGTATCTGCCACAATGTCCTACCTGTCAATGACTACTTTAGCTTCAACCACAACAATACATGACCACACAATAGATACAAACTTAAGGTAAATCGCTCCAAACTCGATTGCAGAAAATACGACTTCAGCAACAAAGTGGTCCTGGAATGCACTACCTGACTCTGTTGTTATATCTTCAAATAATAAAATAATAAAATAAAATTCTCTTATTACCTGCCATGCTTTTTGAATCAGAAATGTTTCTCTCCTGACTTCTCTTGCTCTGTGTTTAAATGTGGGGGAAAGCATGGCTTGTAAAGCATGTGCCACAGCATAGACTGCATTATAGATGCTGTAACTCTGCCCAGTGATGGTGGTGTCAAACACAGACATAGGTACATTCTCAAACTTCTCTTCTCCAGTGCACTGCTTTCCAGTTTCTACCAATACCTGAGGAAAGGTACATTCAAAAACCTGTTCCCAAAACACTCTCAGTAAATTGTCTCCCTCTACTGAAGTTGGCTTTATCATCTGAAGAAATTTATTGAATCCAGGGATCTCCTTGGAAGAAACTTCAAAAGTTATAGCACCGTGGAAAGCATCCATATTCAACATTTTGAGAAGAGAAAGTGATGTAAACTCCATTTGAGCTGGCATTATCCAAACTTTATCTTTTCTCTTGACTGGTATGTCTATCATTTCTTCAAAATAGGGTACCAGTGTAACAGTGATAGTGTAGTGGTTTTCACAATATAGGACAATCACATTGGCAATGCTCTTCATGATAATGATGTATAGTTTACGGAAATCATTAAGTATACTTTCAACATAATTGGTAAATGTTGGCTGGACCATCTCTTCCATGAAGTCAAAGCAGATACCTTTTTTGGAAAACAAAGTAACAACATTTTCTATTAACTGCTCACCATTTTTTTCATGTTGGAAAATCAGTCCAATCCATGTCCACCTTAAAAACAAAAGTAGCTGGATAAGACCTGTAATCTCTTGATCACTATTTGGGAAAAATTGATGATAGAAAACATGTCTCCTGCCATCTTTGGCTGGAGAAGATCCATAAATGAGCTAAACATAGAAGAAAGAGGGAACATTGTTTTCCAAAATGAAATATTCATTCTTATTTTTGAAAATTCTATTCTTCCTTTATTTATTTTTGTTGCAAATATTGAAAAATATCTATTCATGTTCAGAATGAATTTGCAGATTTTTTTATGCAACAGCTGTTACTGTAGTATATGTTCAAAGCAGAGGTGGTAGTTAACAGGTTCTGACCAGTTCTGGAGAATCAGTAGTGGAAATTTTCAGTAGTTCAGAGAACTGGTAAATACCACTTCTGGCTGGCCCTGCCCCCATCTATTCTCTGCCTCCTGAGTCCCAGCTGATTGGGAGGAAATGGAGATTTTGCAGTAACTTTCCCCTGGAGTGGGAAGGGAATTGACATTTTACAGTGTCCTTCTATTGGAGTGGTGTGAGAATGGAGATTTTACAGTATCCTTCCCCTGCTATGCCCACCAAGCCACGCTCACCAATCCATTCAATGCCCGTCAAGCCACATCCACAGAACAGGTAGTAAAAACTTTTGATTTCCACTACTGGTTTAAAGGCAGAGACATCAGAAATGCATTAAATCAGGAAATTTTACCGCAGATTTTCAGGTCTAAAGCTTCTAGATCCTGACTAACAAAGGAAACACATAACTATATTTTCCATAATTATATAACCCATAGTTTTCTCCTCATAGGAAATGTAAGAAATTTGAAGAAATAAATGATATCTTTATCTTATCTTATGAAGATAAGATAGGACGTGCAACTAAACAATATAGTTTTGGGAAAAATATGTATGACATCCCTCTTCCAGTTTTACTTAATTTTTATCTCATAATCTTTAAGCATCCTGATATGAATCCATACTGATATGGATGTTTGCATGGATATAATTTGCAATCCAACAAGTACTGAACAGGCACAATCCTGTTTAACCCCTTCCTTTTTAATTGTCTCACATTTTTTTGTAATCTGCCTCCCACTACCCATTGTATTCTATATGAATTTCAGACAAAAAGACACTACAGATCAGAAGTAGAAAATATACAGCTCCCTAGCAACCAACATTGGCAATCAATATATTTCAGTGATCGGAAATACAACTAGTGCTAAATCTTTGGATGCTTTCCTCATTTTCAATTTTTTTGGCAGAATCAAAAATAGTATCTTATGCTTTAAAGTGATTTAATGCTATCTCATTCAAGTTGATACAGAAACCCTGATAAAACATTCTAGTGGATGAAACTGTCTACATGGGATTTAATAATCCATTGATCACTCTAATTTCAGAAGGTGAGGAGAAGAGGATGAAATATATAATAATTACAATAACATTCTTAAAATATCATAACGCTCTGTATTAAGCAAATACAATATTTGCAATGGCTATTACCATTGCTAATACTATTATTACTAGTAATACTACAATTGCTAATACTATTAGCAAAAAATAGCAAGCATATGTAATAAGTATTATAGTAACCCAACTATTTATCTTTTACTTCAAGTACTTTTCCTAGATTCTTCATGAATTTTATTGTATAGTGAAACAGCTATGTTTGGATGAGCTATAAGTTAACTAAAATAAAATAGTTAACATAAAATAGAGCATTTTATTTGAATTTCTGTGCAAATTTGATTCATTTGTAGCACATCACTACATTATTTTGTTACTTGAGTCATCATGAAAAATTCATGGAGAGGAAGGAAGGAAGGAAGGAAGGAAGGAAGGAAGGAAGGAAGGAAGGAAGGAAAGAAAGAAGGAATGATATTCTGCAATATAAAGATCAAGGTAACTATTCCTATTACTTCATCAAGTCCATGAATCCTTTTCTTCATTATTAAAGCATGGCAAAAAATTGATAAAATGAATGAATTGATATTTTTATTGAATTTATTAATAAATAAGTCAAGAAATCAAATATATTAATTGATTCAGATTCTTATTGAGGAATACATCTAGAAGGGCACCAAGATATAAATTTCATCTGCAAACTCACAGCTTATCCATTCCTTTTTGTGTTGCCACTATCTTTCCAATTCACAAAATGTAATGTAAAAGAGAAAAAAGATTTTTTGTTGCTGTTTATTAAAAATAATTTAGTAAAAGTAAAAAGGAGGGCATCCTTTTAGACTTCCAAGATTCTTCATTGTAACCTTACAATAGAAGAATTCAGTATTTTGTTTCCTAGTCTGGGCAATCTTGAAAGGCTTACAACAATCTTGGAATTTGGATAGCATTTGCTCTCCTTTATGTTCAAAAGAATGAAGTTTGTGTGTGGGGATCAATCCTGAGATGCTTTCCCAGATTATACTTCTGGTTTAAGCCTAGGTTGTTTTTATTAAAGTGCTGAATAATCTGAAGCTCTTCTTCCTGCCTTTCAAGGTTGTCCTTACAGCTTCCTATATTTTGTTCAAGAACAAATCTTCTTAGAATTCATCATAGAATTCATCATAGAATAATAGAGTTGGAAGGGATCGTGGAGGTATTCTAGTACAACCCCCTGCTTAGGCTGGAAACCCTACACCACCATAACAAATGGTTATCCAACATCTTCTTTAAAACTTCCAGTGTTGGAATATTCACAACTTCTGGAGGCAAGTGGTTTCATTGATTAATTGTTCTAACTGTTAGGAAATTTCTCCTTAGTTCTTAGTTGCTTCTCTCCTTGATTAGTTTCCACCCATTGCTTCTTGTTCTGCCCCCAGGTGCTTTGGAGAATGGGTTGACCAAGTGCCTAGAGTCTATGAGGAGTTGAATGGGGCAAAAAAAGCTCAGGTTAGATCCTTGCACAATGAATTTGCTATTTTGCTTGATTCTAATCAGTTTCAATAGAGTCACGCTCACCTGAAGGAACAAATACCATAAACAGTTAAGGTCCATGGTTGGAGTGCCTTCTGCACAGCTTCAGCTGATGCATCCATTTTTGTGCCCCCCCCCCCACGACAGCAGGAAGTCTACCCTCATCAACTCACAGTTAGACTACTGCACTGCACTCTACATGAAGCTCCTCTTGAAACCAGCCCAAAAACTTCAACTGTGGCTTATGCATTTTATTTTAAAAAATACTAGTAGAATTGTTTTGCTTAAGACTGATCTAAGAATGATAAAGCTTTAGATCTACTATAATTCTAGGCATTGGCAGAGATCAGTTGGGTGTAATGAGCTCAATCTGATACTTACGGGGTCTTACCTGAGGCATTTTGTAGACATTCAAGATATTTGCCATGAAGGGAAAGATGGAAGAGTTAGGTCCTACAATAACAGAAACCACCCAGTCCTTGACATCACACTTATAGTTGGGCATGAATCTTCCCTGGGTTGAGAGAAGCTCCATTGAAGCCAGGTTAGTCCATCTTGCCATGAAATAACTATTAGAGATCTGAATACCCAGACTGATGTTGGATAATATATTACTGTGTTCATTTATCTCATTTACAGCAAAAACCAAGGCCAGGATATGTTGATAGTTCTGTAGGAAATATCTGCAATGAGAGATACATTACATTTTTTAAAAAAAAAACTTCTGAAGAATGTGACATTACACAACCACCAAATATAATAATGGAAAAATATGAAAAATGATCACATAATAAACACGACTTCAGCTACAGAATGGTCAATGCCTGGAATGCATTACCTGACTCTGTTGTTACATTCTCAAACCCCCAAAACATTAACCTTAAACTGTCTACCATGGACCTCACCACATTCCTAAGAGGTCTGTAAGGGGATATGCATAAGAGCACCAGTGTGCCTACCATCCCTGTCCTACAGTTCCTATTTATTTGTACTCATTTCTTATGAGAAATGAGTATATACTTATACATGCTTATACTTATATGTTTATATGTTATATTAATATTTATACTTGTTTTCTCAAACATGCTTGACAAACCAAATAAAATAAAAATAAATAAAATAAAGTAACAGAAACATTTTGGAAATATTTTTTCAGTGTGCCTAAAAACATTTTTTGATGAAATGGAAAATGATCTTGTGAAATATAGTTACAGTGCTTCTAAGCAGACTGTTATGATTCTTGTAATTCATTATAAACAATTTTAACTAGGAAATAGATGTATTTCTGGAAAGAACATTAATGATCTTTTAAAACCTATCTAATTCTAAGATATACTTCTAGTCTTTTAACTTTAACTCCTCCATCTTCTTCTTGCATGTTTTTTTTTTGGTGGGGATAGGCATGAAGAATGTGTTTTGAAATACAATTAAGGGCAAATGTTATATGTAATACTTTTTTGGGGGGAAGTGATAGACCTCCAGAGGACTATTATCATAAGGAAAGATATAGAGATTAGGTTAAACTGACATTTATACTCCATGCTCAACAACTGTTTTAAATGTAATTCAAAGTATTATACAGCTCACCAGTCCCCCAATATTAAGTGAAATTAAACTATTAGCATGCAGTTAGTTACAAAAGGTGATTTGATAGTAGAGCATTGATGATTCATTTACACAGCAAGAAAATAAAAAAATCACTGAGGTGGGACCTATCATAAATGTGTTTATGTAAAATATTTATTTGCCCAGTAAGAAACATCCATGTAATCACTCTGTATTGGTTTTAGAATGAAGGAACTAACAGTAAGAAACAGAATAAATAATTTGTGCTGCAAGTAATCAGCTATACATTATTCAAGAAAGATATGTGGTTTAAGAATAGAATTGTTTATTGGCCAAGTGTGATTGGACACAGAATGAATTTGTCTTTGGTGCATATCAAGAATCATAAGGTACAACACTCAATGATAATCATAGGGTACAAATAAGCAATAAGGAAACAATTAATA